AACTTGTCTTTAATTGTGTACAATCTACTACCAGTCTTATTGGTCTTTAACATGTTCTCTTGTAGGAAAAATAGCTGTGACTTCACTTGTAATGTTTCAAAATATACAGCTGTATTTTTTGTTGTGTAATGAACCAAGGCTTCTCTACCAGTGTGATCAAAAGAAAGTGGACTAGAGTCATGAGTGATGTGTACTCTGTGAGTGGCCCAGCTTTACTATTATTATATCTTAGTAAGTAAGGCCAGGCTACTTCCTGTAAGTCAGAATTGTATTCATTACTGATTCTGCCTTAGTTTTTGTTAAAGATAAATATTATGTCATTTGTATTTAGAATTTTGTTTTTCTTAAGGTTTAATTTCAGCTTACAGGCAGTGGTGTAGTGCTAAATAAATAATTGATCGAACAAGAAATCTACTGCATAACTGTGTAAGGTGGGATTTGTTCGAAATAATGGCAGTATGATGTTCTGGCTAACAAAAAAAAATACATGTACGCTGTGCCCACTCCACTACAACTCTGCTGACAGGGAGATTCATATTAAATTGGTGTAGCAGAACTGTTAAAGGTTCTTACATACTCTCTCCACTTCCACACTCTCATAGCAAGCTCTTGTGTGTCTGTAATAAAGATTGCTGTTTGGGAATTTTCATGTACTGAATAACTGGATATTTCTTTGTGACAAACTCAGCTGGAGTTCAAAGAGATACAGAGCTCCTATTTACCAAACCTAACCCATTTATTGTGAGAGAGAAATCAGTGTAATCACAAGCCTAATCAGATTAGTATGGGCTGCAATCACTGCAAGGTGAGTCTAATCCCCGTGGGCTTATCTCATAAATCACTAGTTCTTCAAATAATGTGAATATAAGTACAAACATATATGTCCCCCTTTTGTATAACTGATTAAAGAACATGTTAAAACTAGATATTTGTTTACTGTTACTATAGAGAATTAATGGTCTAATTGAATGTAAATTCACAAATGTAGTGTGGATTTAATCACTGTAAAATGCAATGTGTTTCGTGGAAATATATGACCGATGGAAGAGTAAAATTTAAAAAAACTATATATATATTCTAAAAATTTTGTACCAAAACACTAATCTTGATGGCTTGTGTGTTAAAGTCATGAATTATTTCAAACTGATATACTAATATTTCATCACAATCATTTTGGGTACTGTAACTTCAGACACTGTTACTGATGTGGTAGTGTCATAAATAGTTTTGTGTTGAAATTAGTACTTCTTCACAATCTTTGTACTGATGTAACTTGAAAGTTTAAAAATCATATTTTCATAGTGTCATGAATGTGTTAAGTTGAGACACTTTTACTGGTGTGTGTACTGACATAAGTGCCTTACATGTTTACAGCAGTATTTCATCACAACCTTTGTACTAGTAGTGTAACTTTGAAGCTGAAAAACTCTACTACCATAGTGTCAGGATTGCTTTAAGTTGAGAGACTGGTATATTTTCAAAAACAGTGTATTATTGCAGTATAACCGTGGACATTTTTTTTACAAGATAGTTTCATGAAATATTTACATAAACCAATCAAACCTTCCTGAGTTCTAGAGTAGTCAATGTGGTCTACACTACATGTTAATAAATGTCTTTTTTTTAACCATCTGGAAGGTAAAAAACTATTTTTGAAGCTAAGGGAACTTTCTCCAATTCAGAGGGAGGTTTGTTTGTTTTAGCATTTTAAGTACATAGCCTTAATGCTGCCCCACAGTGAGACTTCATAGAAACAATTAACAGTTAAAAGTAATTGAGTATCCTAGCACTTTGTATGGAAGATTACAGAATTTAATGAACAGGGTTTGGGTTTGTTTTGAATTCCACACAAAGCTATATGAGAAATATCTGCCCTAGCCATTCCTAATTTAGCAGTAAAAGACTACAGGGAAGGCAGTGTATATCACCACCCACCACCAACTCTTGGGCTATTCTTTTACCAATGAATAGTGGGATTGACCATCCATTATAATACCCCTACAGCTGAAAGGGCAAGCATATTTGATGAAACAGGGATTCAAACCCATGATCTGCAGATTGCAAGTTGAGTACCCTAACCACCTGGCCATGCTAGGCCTTAATGAACAGGGAGTTTGAAGAACTGACTATGAGATACATGTACAAAAATAGACATTAAACCTAATAATGTATGAGAGAAATCGGAATGTAAAACTAGTGTGTTATGTACTTTCTAATAAGGTACTAGACTAACAACTCAGTTCAACTATTGTTATAACAGCTTTCTACCTTTGTCAATGAATGTAAAATATTGTTTCTGCAGTTAAACAAAATATTAAGAAGCATTATAAACCTCAATAAAAACTTAAAATAAACAGATGGCTAAAATTTAAGATTTAGCCTATTCTTGTTTCTCTCTCTCTCTCTCTCATTGCTAAATATTTTTTGCATAACTACAAATATACAAATGTTTAGCTAACCAATTATGTAGTTCAAAGTTGCAAATTTTGCTTTAAAAATTAAACAAATTAAATTTTTCTCAGTCTGCAAATTTACGGATATATAGAATAAATAAAGTATACAAAAGCTCATTAAAGATATGAACCTTTTAAGTCTCACTTGTAAAGATAACTTGGGCTTAGCATTTGCAATTTTACTTGAAGTGTTTCTACTAATCAAGTAAGACATTTCTATGGTTAACAGGCTACAATATTCAATGCTACTTTAATACTAAGAATGATAGTGTACAATACACACTTTGCATACTAGTGCCAGTTTGCTGAAACCAATCAATATTTCACCACAAAACTTTCCTTCTTTGAGGCATAATGTATAACAAGAGAACTGTATGAACTTTCATTTTATAAATTTATTTTACTTTAAAATGTGAGGTATTGTGTATAAATATTAACTTGCACTATAAGCATAAAACTATTAAAACATGAAAATTTTAGCTTGTTCTCTGTTGTCTGTTTTTTGTCTTCCATAGTCATACAAAAGCAAGACAAAATCTACCACAATAACCATAAAAAAAAAGAGTAACACTTGCAGAATCAAGTAGCATATGTAAGTAAACAACTGACAGCTCGTCAAAAGTCAAAAGAAAATAATGGTTGCACTGTAGTTTCAGGCTGTAAAAATGCAGACAAAAAGCTTTTTGAAAATTTTAGTACTTTAAAAAAAAGTTATGGTGTTGAAGCTTTGTAAACATTTACCTTTAAGATGATATCAATTCAATTAAAACTGTGAACAATTTGTAAGTGTAAAGATTTCTTATTTTTATTATAGATTTATTTCATTGATCTTTCATGAAATTTTCTTTTAATGAAAATTTTAATTAGCAACCCTTCAACCAAGACTCAATTTTATTGAATTTCACTAGTGTTAATTTATTTGGAAGAAGAATCAACCAACTAGAATACAAATCTTGATCTATGCTACACAGTGACATTGAAAGAATTAAAATATTTATTTCAAATTTTCATAAATGAACGATATCATTGCTCTCTAATACAAGTTTTACATTTCAAATACTAGTAAGTAATCTGCTCTGCTTGAGCATTTCAATATCTATTGTATAACTGTATAATGTGAAAAGTTCTATGTAATTTAATAAGTTACCTTGTTCCATTCTGACAAAAATATATACACAACAAAAATAATCATTCTGTAATATCTATCATAAGAAACCTAGCAAAAAAATATTGTGAGGTGAAAATATATGTCAAATCAATTATAAATGCAATTTACTGTAAGCATAAAACAAAAAATGGCATTTTTTTTATAACAAAATAGTAACATTTTGTTTGCAATCTTTTTATTTAGTAACAGATTTATTTCCTCTTCATGTGTTTAAAAAATAGAACAATTGTATATAATAAAAAATATATTTTATTTAATTATAGTAAACATTACAAAAAAAGGATAAGCTTCTTTCTTACTCTTTGATACTTTTCATCACAATTACAAAATATAAAAACAATATTTACAGACAACATGTGTAGGGTACTACCACAAAAGCAGTTTATCAACATGATTCAATGTTTAGATGTACGAGTTTATTAGGATGTAGTAACAGGAAAATTAAGCATTCTCTGAATACAAACTCTTGAAGTTACATTGTTACAAGAATAAATTTAACAATGAAATATTAAAAACACTGAAGCACCATACAATTATCTACATCAACATTCATAAAGTTAGAATAATAGTACCAACAGCATGAATAAAAGCTGAGCTTGCAAAATATATATACAAAACGTTTGGATGACCTCCAACATTACTAGTTGCTCAAGTATCACTATTGGCTCCAGAAATAAGGAAAACATTAAGTGTTAAAATGTTTTTTGGCCATTCACAGTTTACTGGTATGTTAAGCATAGCAGTGTTTTTGCTAATTTAATGATAAAAAAGTTAGTTATTTTTCTTATAAGAATTAACATCCACTCCAATATTAAAAACAGGAATACTACAAAAAATGTGGTGATAGCAAAATATTTATAATTTGTTTATAACATTATTAACAGCCACTCGAATCTTAATTACTGGTAATTCTGGCAATTAAAAAGTTGCAGCAGTCAATCAAGTTTACATTTTTCACATCTGCATTCACAGTTATAAAAAAACAGTTTTAAAAATATGGATTAATACTGTCAAATGAATGTTTTGTTTAAAGTACAAATAACAAAAACACTCGCTTCTATGGAGTACACAGTTTTCTACCTTCCACTGAACTGTAAAATATCTGGTAAGTATTTAACTCTCATTGTGATACTTCTTACATTTCCAATGCTTCAGTTTTATGCATGAGAAAAGATAATTATATACGAAATATTCCTTCAAATTTACAAACTAAATATATTCCAACACAAATTATTAAAACACTCAATTGAAGATTTCAAAGTTACAGTTAACAAATAAACCATCATACAAACTGCCTGTATGATGATGTCATTCAACAACTAAAATCTTCTATTTACAGATAAACAACAAAGTGAGGTATTTCTGCAACTTCAACATACCTTAGCTGGAGGGCCAAATGGTGAAATCTCAGTGTTCCTTTCACTAAGTGGTCGTTTTACTACTGGTTTTTCACTTTTTACACCTGTAAAGACCAAGCAAACAATTAATTGTAAAACTGCTTTCCAGCCACTTAAAGGTCCATATTAATACTCATTCATTTAACTTTGATTTAGACTCACTGACCTATATTGTGTACCTACACATATTACAATTATAATAGCTAACACTATTTTAATTTTTCACAGTTGACAGATTTGTTTCACCTCACACATTTAATACTGAATAAATATCATCAAGAGAGACAGTATTCACACAGAATCATGAAACTGTAATAATTCTCTTTAAGAACAGAATTATAATTCTTAATACAAAGTTGTATACTTTGCCTACACTTCGAGTTTTATGTACTTAGAACACACAACTCACCATGCTGGCCCCTTTCAAAGTACTGATAAAACTGAGAAAGATAGGTGGCAATGCTGAGCTTGTCTGGTTGTTTGTACATGACCATATCTTCAGCATCAAGCAAGGCTGGAATACCAAGTTGCTTTTCTGCAACTCCAAAAGCCTGAACCAAACAATACAATTATGTTTGTACAAAATACAAGTACATATGTTCATTATATGACCTTCTCACCTTAAATTTATGATTCAACATATTGTTAAAGAATTTCAAAAACTTTCACAAAACTGTACATATACACATATATGAACAGGTCTGTGGAATAACTTACCAAAGTATTGTTGTGAAGAATGTTTTCTTTTGACAAGGACTCATAGTCTCTACACAAAGAAAAGGAAAAATGAACATTTACACAATACAAAACATATCTTCTATGCTGTAAAATAATCAAATTAGAATACAAAAAATACGAATAACTATAGTCAAAAGAAGTTAAAGCAAAAACTTGTTTCAACAGAAAATATGGTACTATCAGAACATTATTTTAATAAAAATAACTGAAAAGTTCACTACAGAAAAACACTGTTGTCTCTGATACAAGAAACAACATTTTTGCTTGGCATACCAGAAAATAATTTCTAAAAATACTAGTATAAACAAACATTATATTCCAAAATTGAGTTCCAAATACATAATACCATAATATAAGAAAGTTATTATATTCATAAAATAATTGTAAAAAGAAAAAGTAAGAAGTTAAGCCTTTTAATTGGTAATTACTGCAAAGTACTTACTACGCTACAAAAAGTGAGTTCCAAGTACATGATACCATAATAAAAAAATAAACTGAAACAAAGAAGATAAAACTAACCCCTTAAATTGACAATTATTCTAAAGTTGTCATTGACCTACAAAAAAACTGAGCATACTTTATTGATTCCTTACAAATAAATCAAACTTTTAAATAAATGTACAATTTACTTTATCCTTTATACAACAGATGATAAAACTTAAACGATTGTCTGTTAAAATTGTGTATGTAAATATTATTTAGAAAAAAACTTATCTCAATTAGGCTTGTTTACTTGCAATTAACAAAAAAGGATTTTGTTTTTTATGAAAGTAATATTTTGGCAAGTGACTTCTTTATGGGCATAATATCCCATCAAACCAGTACTTAGCTAGTTTTTTGTTTTTTTTCAGAATTGTAACTTAAAACGTAAAAGCCTATTGATGCAGAAATGAAGTTATAGCTGATAAAACTAACATTGTAACAATCAAGAGATAAAAAAATTATATTTTACTATTTCAAACTTACATGAGATCTGGTCGAAATCTGTGAATGAGAGCACAAAACGCAAGCCCATCTCTGAAAGATGAACTCAAGTCTTTGATATCAACATCTCTATAACCCTGGGTTAACATTCGGCACCAGGCTTGCAATCCTCGTAATCCTGTTTTCTGCTCCATCTTGTGTTTGGTAACTTAACTGTGAAAGGTAGAAAAGAGGCTCATTTCATTTTGCTATAAACCAAAGTTATACTCTAATATTATAAACTGCAAAAATATTTGTTTCCTAACTTGTTAATAGTAAAAACTTCACGGGGTTTTATTTCAAAATTACACTGAATACAAGTTATACTTTTCTCCAATATCAACTTCCATTTTCGACCAAGAACCAGTAATTGTTATAAAAAAGATTTAAATGAAAAGGCTGTAGTTTCGTATTATCATAAAAACCATAAAACAGTTTCAAACTTGCAAAGTCACACCAAAAATAATTGTTTCCAATGTGCTGAAGAGCGAAATTTTCATAAGGAGCATTAAGTTTTCTCACTAACAGTCAAATAAACAACTGAACTCTACACGTGTTCTAACGAACTTTTTAAGAACGCACGAAGTAGTAGCCACAAACCTAACAATGACCTACTTGGACATCTAATACTGATATCAGACCAACCTCTTTACCCAGTTTCAGTATTCGCACTGGCCCACTTCAATAATTATCAAACTTGGCCTTCACCGATATAATGAATTGCTCCCTTAATAATACCCCCCCCCCAAAAAAAAAGATATTCTTTCACAAAAGGCTTTCATTGCGAACACTGTTGCCATTCTCCCTTTTCTCTGAATTACTATGAGAATTTACGACAAAACGAACCTATGTGTGCATCAATCTGAGCAAAACTGTTCAAGAGCTATCTGCGTTAATAGTCCCTAATTGTGAAGTGATATGAAAACAATTTCATTAAAACGCCCCCACAGCTGCAAGGACAAATATGTTCGGTTATAGGGTTCGATCCCACTACCCGCAGATTACGAATCAAGCACCCTAACCGTCAGACCATACTAGGCGTACGGTATAGCAGTCGTTTTTTTAACGACATCGGTAAAATTGATCTGCGGATAAAATGAAAAACGATAAAAAATCAAATGATCTTAACTTAAAACAACCCAAATAATTTACGATACTTTCACTGAAAGTGAAATGCATTTGTTAATAAATTAAATATATCGCACTGCAAGAAATAACAACACTTGCACAAGTTTAGTATCGACGAACCTTTATTTGAATTTGAAGAACTGTGATCCACGATCAAAATATTTTTTATACGGATGTCCTGCCCATAAAATGCCTGCGTTTACTAAAACGATAAATGAGTGTACAGTTTATTCCATATAGTTGGTATATTTAATTTTTGCAATTTTACAATTACAAAGCCATCCACGCAGTTTCAGCCATGAATATTAATACTGTTCTATGCATTCTCACCAGATCCTAAAAATGCAATAACTAGTTATATTTGTCATAAGACATTAATATTAGGCTTATTTTATTTGTTTCACTACATTCTTTATTCAGTTCCTTATGATTTTTCAATTAAAAAAACAAATTATAGAACAGTATTTCAAACACGCTATGTTCGCCATATCCACTTATTTTATTTAGCAGTTCTCTGGTCTGGGTTAGTATTTGGTCCTAGTTTTCTCGACCTGAGATGGTCAGGTTCAATCTAGACCTCTTCCTCCCTCCTTTACTATCTCTATTTTATACATAAATATTACACGAGCATTCAAGAAATCAGAGCACAAACACTTAGATTTAAATACTGATTTTAACTTCCCACTTCAGGACCATGTCCATGAATGCTGTTACACTTATAGCATTTTGTGCTATTCGCCACTTCACTTTGTTTGATTGAACCAGTTCACTGGCAAACGTCACTTTTCCACTAGGTTAAGGTATCAAACGTGTATTTCACATAAATACCCTACAAATATACTTGTTACATAACAGTTTCTCTTCAATAACAAACTCCTTTTGAAAACAGAGTCTGAACACTCCAAGAAACCCTAGACCGGTGGTGTTTCCAGGGGCGAACTGAGATTTATTATTTTCGTCAACGCTGTTACTGGTGATATCGAAAGAACTGAAATGCTCATAGTTGACCAAATTAAAATTCATTGAGAATTCGTGGTAAATTAGGTAAAAGTATTATGATTTCCGCCTTCTAATCTTCCTTTCTTTTGTTTTCAAGTTTGTATAAAGCCGTAACCGATATTACTTTTATAAAGTATCATTTCTTTTCACTTCATAGTATATTGTTTAATGATAATTATTAGTCTAATACTATGTAATATCGTGTAATTAACGAAACTGATTACACAAATATACATGTATATAAAATATGGCAAACTTATTTAACGCACTTTTACATTCCAGGATAAACAAATGGGAGTGTTCTCTAAAATAAATATTTAATTCCATCATACTAAAAATAAATCGAAGTAATCATTTATTGACGTGAACCATTTTTATTCGACAACTATGTGTCCTGTTTTAACAAATACAAACTTCTCTATTCTAACATAATTGTACATCTCATTTCCGTTAGATTTTCACATGTGTTAAATGAAAAAAAACTTATTTTCTATGTATCTAAAATCCTACAAATGATTCAACCTGTTTATGGTTAACGGGAGCTTTATCTTCCTACAAATGATTCAACCTGTTTAGGGTTAACGGGAGCTTTATCTCATTCTTGACTGACAGCTCAATTCATGACAAGTTTTACTAACTTCGCTTTGTTCATGGAATATTTCAACATAATAAGGTTTCACAGTGAAGGAACAAACCCGGTGTATCATTATTTTACACGATGAAAGGAAGTACATTTTATATTTGTGCTGATGAAATGAAAGCATGGAAAACATTTCAATGACTCTTCACTATGTAAATGTACAATTATTAAATATTTAAGTCAAGGGTTAATATTGCAAACTTATCCTACTCTAGTAAGAATTTTCAGCGAGTAAAGTTAAGGATATATTGTCAGAAATAAAATAAAGTGCGTGCACGAAATATATAAGGGAGAGAGTAGTGCTGTGCATGTTTTATTTATGGTTTAACCTTATTAACGTGTATGTTTATATGTTTCAAGTTAATGTTTCTTTTGGATATTTCGTGCAAAGCTAAACAAAAGCTATCTACACGTTGCCGTCTCTAATACACGCACAGCCCCAAAGTGTGGAGCGCGATTTAGGGGCAACTGGACGAGAATCGGGAACCCTCAGATTCAAAGTTTAACACGCTAACCACTGAACCCTGCCATATCTCTAAATAAATGCGCATAGTTCCCTGACTATTATTATATGTAATTATAACTGGGTAAGGTGATCCTGAATAAGGAAAATATGTATATTTAGACGTTTATTTTTTACAATTCTTGCAGTGTTTGTTTGTAATTGAGCACAAAGCTACACAATGGGCTATTTGTGCTCTGCCCACCACGGGTATCGAAACCAGGATTCTACCGTTGTAAGTCTGCAGACATACCGCTGTACTACTTGGGGGCATCTTGCAGTGTTCAATACAAAAAGGTGAAATGTTATCAACAAGTCAGTGAAAAAGTAGTGAAAAATCATGCCCCTAAAAAAATTCATGAAGCTACTTTATTACTGACAGTACACAGATCGTTTTGTTTTAAACAGTCATCCTGATAATTATGTATTACACAATAAGATGCAGTACATTACATATCATACAATTCACATCATTGCATCCTACTGAGATGATAATGGTATCTTCAAATTTCAAATGTAACCTTCAAGTAATATAACCTTTCCAAGACACATATCCAAAAACATTAACTTGCAATGAATGTCGATATTTGGGTAACCAAATGTTCCTACTTAAAATCACATGGTTTCTTGATTATAGAAGTATGTTCACGAAAAAAACTGATGACCAAATCACAGTTCCTTGAGTTTGGCCATGCACTACTTATATAATTTTACAGTATTTTTTTTCCAGTTCAGTCGATGAACATGCATTCACATAGTGATATTAAGTAAACTAAGGTTACTTGTATACTTCTACACACACAAACAGCAGTGCGAACTAGTAGTCTTTCAACGGACACGCTGACCTATAAACTGTCCAATACTCGGCAGCTTGGGTACATTAGGAAAACAAGATGACTAATACCCCAAACTTGACATAGTTTTTTCTTTTAATCTATCATATATATATATAAGCTATGCTCGATGATGCAATATGAAAAAACGGTCGAAAAAAGTGCGATTACCTTTCATAAATAGCTGTTGGAATAAGCAAACTGCGTATTTATACATATGATTGGATGTCTCCTCAACGATAATTAATGAACAAAATCAAAATAAATGTTTTTTTTAAATCCCAAATTCAGCATACTATTTTTATTACGTTTAAAAACACTTATCATTTATAATGTTCTGTAGGAGCGACTATCTGAATATATGTCACTTCAGTCAACACTGGTATTGCAACGTTCAGACTACCAGATCAGGTGATGCCAGGACTATAATTTAAACATCAGGGTTGTGACGATTACACAGAAATCGGTTTCAAAATCGTTTCTATTCAAAGACAGAAAAATAATTTTGTCCCTTTATCCCTGCACACACAAACAAACCTTTAAATGATAAAATATTCAACTATACCGAGTAATACGGTAATTCTTAGGTGTCACGTGACTTACGACACGCTGGATTGCTATTTTAACAGTCATTCATATAATAGAACACAAATTGCCCACTAAATCAAAAACAAATACAGTATTTACTTCTTAGTTTCGACTATTTATATACTGTCGTCATATTTTCTAATGTTGGATTCATAATGGCCGACGATTATCCGATTCGATTTACGAAAACGGTTAATCGATTTCAAAATTGTCGTATCTGTATGTGTCGTTACTGACAGAAAACTATGGAAATCTCATAGCTGACTTGCTGAACAGCCGTTTGTAGATTATATTACTACAGTTCCAATACCTATCATCTGGAAGAACTTTATTAACATGCAAGCTTCTGTCAAAGTTCTTTTCATTTGCTAGCGAACTAGTAATTAACAGCTTACGAACAGGAACATTTGTGCGTTTGGGAAACGTTTCTGAAATTTTAGCATGCCTTGTACTACTTTTTCAAGCGTTTAATGAATACATTTCC